GTTGGCTGCTGTGGTGTGAGTGGTTCCCGTCCGTAACACAGGAAGAAAGGAGTTTTCCCTGTGGCCGCATGTGATGCGGTGTTGTAAGCAAACTCTAGGGTTGGTACCTGTGTGTCCCAGTGGCTGACGTCGTCCTTGCAAGCTGTGCGCAGTAACTGTTCAACCACTTGATTGAGTCGCTCTGTCTGTTCGTCAGTCGGGGGGTGGTATGCTGAAGACATTGCAAGCTTTGTCCCCAACAGTCCCATGAGCTCCTTCCAGAACTTACTCGTGAATTTGGGGTCTCTGTCTGAGATGAGTGTAGCGGGGATGCCGTGGATGGTGATGATGCGGTCGAAGAAGAGTTGAGCAGTTGCTTCAGCTGTAGCTGTGGCGTTGGTCGGTATGAAGTGACCCATTTTGGAGAACTTATCAATCACCACGAGGATGGAATCATGTCCCCGTGAGGTCGAAGGAAGTCCTGTGATGAAGTCGAGGCTCACGACCTGCCATGGCTGCTCCGGTACGGGTAGAGGCTGAAGTAACCCTGCTTTTATCTGCTTGCTGCTCTTCATCCGGTGGCACGTGTTGCAAGAGGTGACAAACTGCTGCACGTCTGCTGCCATCCCGGGCCAGTAGTAATACTTCGCTATCCTTGCTAACGTCTTGTTGCTCCCGAAATGTCCCGCGTAAGGTACGTCGTGAAACTCCTCCAATAGGATGTGCCGTAGCGGGGCGTAATTCGGTACCCAAATCTTTCCTGAACCCTTCCTTACAGCTAAGTCCTTCTTCCACTGTAATAGCTTCTTACTGAGGTAGGCGATGGGCTGCAAACTGCGTTCGTGATGGTGCATCAGTACTGCTCGACTGCTTGGTCACTAGCGTCTGCTTCCACCACGTAGTCTCTGTCTGGATCCGGTAGGATGAGTAGTGGCGCTGTAGTCAGTGCTGTCTGTAGCTGCTCCATGGCTTGCCGATGAAGGGTATCCCATTTGTAGGGTGTATCCTTTTTGAGTAGGTCGGTCAGTGGCGCTGCTATCTCAGCGTACTGCGGCACGAACCTGTTGTAGTAGTTGGCGAAGCCTAGGAACTGCTGTAACTCCTTCACGTTCTCTGGTACTTTCCACTTCTTGACGGCTTCAATCTTTCGTGGGTCCACGTGTACGCCCTTGGCACTCACCATGTGCTCGAGAAACTGCACCTTCTTCAGGGCGAAGTCGCTCTTTGACAGCTTCACGTAGAACTTGTTTTTCCGCAGGATCTCGAACACCTTCCGCAGATGCTCCACGTGCTCCTTCATGTTCTTGGAGTAGATGAGAATGTCGTCCAGGTACACCGCCACGCATTCGTCCAGCAGGGGTCGTAAGATGTGATTCATCTCTGCCTGAAACGGTGCTGGTGCGTTGCAGAGTCCGAACGGCATCACCAAGTACTCGTAGGAGCCGTATCTGGTACGGAACGCTGTCTTGTGGACGGAGTTGTCTGCCATCTTGATCTGCCAGTAGCCCAATCGTAGGTCCAGCTTCGAAAATACTGTTGCTCCACGTAGTGATCGAGTAGGTCGTCTATGCGCGGTATGGGATATTTGTTTTTGACTGTCTGTTTGTTCAGTGCGCGGTAGTCGATGCACATCCGTAGACTGCCGTGTGGTTTTGGAGTGAAGAGAACTGGTGCGCCGTAGGGAGAGGTGGATGGGCGGATAAGTTGTCTGTCTAGTAGATACTCTATCTGTTTTTTCATGTCTGTCAGTTCAGTCGGACTCAGTCGGTATGGTGCACGTGAGACGGGTTTCGCACCTGGTTCCTCCACGATCTCGTGCTTTTGGGTGCGTGCTGGAGGTACGCCTGCAGGTAGGTCGTCGGGCATTATATCCTTGTACTGCTCCAAGACCTCTTTCACTGCTGCAAGTAGCTCGAAACTCGGCTTCTCCTCCTCTGCTGCTGCCATAACCAGTGCTAGGTAACCCGTGTTACTCTTGTTCACCGTCTGTTCGAACCGTGCCAGTGTCGTTTCAGGTACGTCCCCTGTATCCGTCCAGCTTCGCAGTGCTATCCGCTTCCCATTGTTCTAGATGCACACCTTGCTGTTGACCCAATCGATCTCGGGGTTGAACCGCTTCAGGAAATCTCGCCCCAAGATAAAATATAATCCTTTGATGTTGGTGACTGGTAGCTTCGGCTTCCACCTCAACGCACCTATATGCAGTTGCAGTGATGCTTTGCCATGGATAGGAAGCTTCGTACTGTCCACCATGGTCGCTGAAAACTGGGTCTCTTCCGCCTTCTCTCCAATTTTCTCCAATGCTCCGCGGTCACACACAGAGTGAGATGCACCGCTGTCCACAAGTGCCTGGAGGCGTCGCCCATTGCATAACACCTCGAGGAGTAGTGGTTTCTGCTGTGCTGAGTAGCCAAAGAGGGTCTCGTTTATAGGATCATAGGGTGTATCAAACTTAATACCTTCCCTTTTTCCTATACCTGACTCAGCGCTTTCCAACTTCACCTGGGGGGTAGGAGGATTTTTCCGAGGCTTGTATAATTTTTCCTGAGCCTGGATGTCTCCTCTAAGCCTTGGCAGCTGTGTAGGCTTCATCTGTGGGCGACGGGGAGCCTTAACACTGTGCTGCGGGGAGAGAATATTAATTCCACGGAACGCAGGACCCTTCTCTACGCTCCGTAGTATTTTGCCCAACTTCTCGGGTACCTGAATAATTTCTAAAGGCTTTTTCTTGGCCTCTAGACCTTCCCTGAATTTTTTGAAGGCTTGTAAACCACGAGAAGCAATAATCTTCGTTAGAGCATCTTTATAGGATACTTTTAACGAATTCTTACTTTCGTGGGTGTTCGGCTAGAGTTTCCCGGTCGGTGCAGAGTCTTTTTTCGCGGAGCCTCCATTCGCCTCGGCGATTTCCCCTGATGCCGGCCGGTCCTGACGTTTTAAATTCGCGCCATCATTTTCTCCTTTTTTCACCCGCTCCGAAGTCGCCACGTCGTCGCCTTTTCCTGCTTTTCGGATCTTTACGCGATCGCCTGGTCGATCCGCGGCTACTTGCGATTCCCGTTTTTTGACTTCGGGGGTGCTCCACTGTTTCCGTCCCAGAGTGCCGCACGTGCTTCTTCATTTTGTAGCACGACAAAAACTGATGTCCTGCTGCGCCGCAAAATTCGCATTTTGTGGGCTGCTGCTTCGCGTCGTATTAGTCGATATCCATCGGTTCGGTGAACGTGGGGGGTGCCGATTGCTCCGTGCCGAATGTACGGTCCGGCGTGAAGCGTCGTGTTTTGGGTTGACTTCGAGTCAGCGCGTCGTATCGCTCAGCAGCACGCACGATGTCTCTGTAGCTCTTGTTATTCGCCGCAGTCACCTGCGACCGAATCTCCATTTTTAATCCATTGGTGTACGCTTGGATTTTTTCGCCTTCGGTCAGGAGTGATGCGGTTGAACAGTAACTCCATCTGCTGCGTGTACTGTGTTACACTACTCTATTGCTTGTGTTGGTGTATCTGCTGCCGAGCCATGTAGGTTGTATTAATTGGTTCGAAACGCTCAATTAAATCTGCCCGAAACTGCTGCCACGTTTTCTCCCTGCGGGCTACGTCGGTGTAGTAAATCCATTCGAGAGCCGGTCCACGTAACAGTGTCGCTGCGAGCCAAATCCTTGTTGTGTTATGTTGCGGGGTCGAACAGCCAATGGCCTTGAAGTAAATTTCGAGGGTGGCCATGAATCGCCGGACGTCTGATCCCTTCGCGCTTGGATCGAACGCCTCCGTGAGCCTCGGTCGTGCTGCTTCGAGGTTCGGCGACAGTGGTGCCATTGGTCCGTGAAATGTTGGTGTCGCCACTGCTGCTGGAGTTGTCGGTGCTGCAGTCGCTATGGTCGCTGCGGCTGCGGTGGCGAACCCTGGTTGGCTTGTCAGAAAAGCCTCGAGTCTACGAAGCGTTGCCTGCGTCTGCTCCATGTCGGTGCGGAGGCTCGCAATGTCGCTCGTAGTCGCGTAGTTGTCGCCTTGGCCCTCCATTTGGTGATTTACAGGAAGATGCGCGAAGAAAATAATCGAATTCTAAGTGCTGGTCGACTTACTGCGAGTCAAATTGACTGTAGAATCGACGAGCACGAATTCTGTAGGCGAAATTCGCGTCCAATCTTGGCCGTTGAGGAGAAATCGATCCGACGCTCCAAATTCCAACGTTTTTGCGCGAAATTCTCTGGGCCGTTGAGATGAAACTCGATCGAACGGTCGAAACTCCAACCTTTCCACCAGTAAATCTAAGGGGTGTTCGAAAACCGAATCGAGGGGGACTTAGAAAAATTGCGCGGAACTGGTTTTACATACCCGTATCGGCACTTTCGTCGTCGCCCCCGCGGTTTTTAAAGGCCGGAACTAAGCGGTTGAAGACCTCGCGTGTAAACCCGCTCTGATTACCGAGTGTGAGGATCTAGGATCGAGCTCCGAAAAGATGATTCAAATTGAATTGAATGTCCACCTGGGTACAACACGAGGCTATATATAGGCTCGACACAAGGCCCCGTAACCAGGTGTTACGCGAAGGTTCCGCGGGTCGCGAAGCGTCCCGAACAGATCCTTACCAAATTTGGTAGAAGGCAATTCGGTGGCAACCGAAAAGCCAGAATTCGGAGCACGCAGCCTAGCTCGGTGCTATAACTATAATAAAATATAGGAAAGCACCTAGCCTAGGAAATCAAGCAATTCATGCATGCATATGATCATCCTATGCTAGAAATAGCATGATAAAGTAGAGGCAAGCAAGCATAGCTGGCATAAGCCGTCGTACTCTCACAGATGGCTTCTTGTGTCAGAATATATTTGTTGTCTAGCCTGCAGTGGGGTACTCTGTAATGAGTACAACCCAATTTAGGGCAATGTACTTGTATCCCAACTCTTGCTAGTCACTTCACTTCCCTTCCAATTTCTCGACTCTCACCTAACCCACTCGAACTTACCTATCTCCTAGTGTGGGCCTAGGCTACTAAGCCTAGGCCCCACACCTAATATTTTCACATGGTATCAGAGCCCGTTCTACCTTGGCCTGTGGGCCCCTATGCTTCCGCTGCAGTCCTTCTTCCTGCCGCCGTGCGCTCGGGGCGCGCGGCGGTTTTCCCGTCCTTCGAAGCGCCCTCGGGGGGCCTGCGCGCTGCCCTCCCCGCTGCTCGTCGCGACGCCCGTGCGGGACCCGCGCGGCGTCACCCTGCTCGTCGCGACGTCCGTGCGGGACCCGCGGGGCGTCGCCCCTGCTCGTCGCGACGTCCGTGCGGGACCCGCGCGGCGCCGCCCTACTTGTCGCGACGTCCGTGCGGGACCCGCGGGGCGTCGCCCCTGCTCGTCGCGACGTCCGTGCGGGACCCGCGGGGCGTCGCCCCTGCTCGTCGCGACGCCCCATGCGGGACCCGCGGGGCGCCATCAGTGCCTACAGCAGCAGCCGCCGCCAGAGCCTGCAGCACCAGCCGCCGCCAGAGTCTACAGCAGCAGCCGCCGCCAGAGTCTGCAGCAGCAGCCGCCGCCAGACCTGCAGCAGCTGCCGCCACCGACCCAGCAGCAGCAGCCGCCGCTCTATCAACAGCAGCAGCCGCCGCCGCTCTACCGCAGCAGCTACCGCCGCCCAGCTGCAGGTGCCGCCCCTGGACCCCAGAAGCCGCCCCTGGACCCGGTACGCCTTGTGCTGCCCGTGCCTGTGCTGCCCGTGCCTGTGCTGCCCGTGCCTGTTGCTGCCCGTGCCTGTGCTGCCCGTGCCTGTGCTGCCCGTGCCTGTGCTGCCCGTGCCTGTGCTGCCTGTGCCTGTTGCTGCCCGTGCCTGTTGCTGCCCGTGCCTGTGCTGCCCGTGCCTGTGCTGCCCGTGCCTGTGCTGCCCGTGCCTGTGCTGCCCGTGCCTGTGCTGCCCGTGCCTGTTGCTGCCCGTGCCTGTGCTGCCCGTGCCTGTTGCTGCCCGTGCCTGTGCTGCCCGTGCCTGTGCTGCCCGTGCCTGTGCTGCCCGTGCCTGTGCTGCCCGTGCCTATTGCTGCCCGTGCCTGTGCTGCCCGTGCCTGTGCTGCCCGTGCCTGTGCTGCCCGTGCCTGTGCTGCCCGTGCCTGTTGCTGCCCGTGCCTGTGCTGCCCGTGCCTGTTGCTGCCCGTGCCTGTGCTGCCCGTGCCTGTGCTGCCCGTGCCTGTGCTGCCCGTGCCCGTGCTGCCCGTGCCTCTTGCTGCCCGTGCCTGTGCTGCCCGTGCCTGTGCTGCCCGTGCCTGTGCTGCCCGTGCCTGTGCTGCCTGTGCCTGTTGCTGCCCGTGCCTGTGCTGCCCGTGCCTGTGCTGCCCGTGCCTGTGCTGCCCGTGCCTGTTGCTGCCCGTGTCTCGTGCTTGCGCCCCCGTGCGCTCTGCTACTGTCTGCGCCCTCGTGCGCACTGTCCCCCCCCCCCCCCCGTTTGCGGGTGTGGGGGTGCTCCGTTTGTGTCGCCCCTTCCTTCTCCTCCTCCGTCGTCTCCCACTGCTGCAGCTGTCACTGAGGGGGGTGGTTGTGTGGGAGACTGGGGTTTAGGGTTTAAGGGGGGTGCGTGGGAGTGGAGCTAGGGGTGTAGCAGCGGGTGTGTGTCAGGGGGGTGGGACTGTTTGTGGGAGGTTGAGCGGAGGCTGCCGTCTTGTAGTCCGCAGCACCTGTAGTCCGGGGCGCTGTCCTGGTAGCCCAGTGAGCCTGCTGCGCCTGTCGCCCGTGGGTCCGTTGCTCCTGCCGCTCTTCGTAGCCGCCGAGCCAGTTACTCCAGTAGTCCGGGGCGCTGTCCCGGTAGCCACTGTGCCAGCCGCTCCTGTTGCCCGTGTGTCTGCAGCTTCAGCAGTCGCCTCCCATCTCCTCTCCTCTCACTCTCCCTCCTCCTCCTCACCTGCCCGTTGTGACCACCACTAGCTTTGCTGATAATTGTGCACTTTAACTATTGCTTCTTGAACTTGTGCTCAGAATGTGTGGTGACATTGTGATCCACCCTGAGCTTGTACTGCTTTGCCTGCTCTGCTGATTTCACCCCACTTTGGCTATGGGGGTGTGTCAGAATATATTTGTTGTCTAGCCTGCAGTGGGGTACTCTGTAATGAGTACAACCCAATTTAGGGCAATGTACTTGTATCCCAACTCTTGCTAGTCACTTCACTTCCCTTCCAATTTCTCGACTCTCACCTAACCCACTCGAACTTACCTATCTCCTAGTGTGGGCCTAGGCTACTAAGCCTAGGCCCCACACCTAATATTTTCACATCTTGGAAGTCCACAGGCACCTACGTCGACGAGGTTCCCTCACCTGGGGCGCACATTGTTAGTGGCATGCGGATTTTAAGGGTGAAGCGACCATCAGTTTTTTCGCGTATCTCCAATGCGCGTTACGTTGCACGAGGCTTCAGTCAGCGACACGCAGTGGACTTCTTTCAGACCTTCTCCCCTACTCCAAAGATGACTATTCTTTGGGTACTATTGCACCTCGCTGCTCAGCGTGGCTACGAGCTTCACTCTCTTGACTTTAGCACAGCCTTCTTACAGGGCAGCTTGCATAAGGAGATCTGGCTGCGCCGCCCACCTGGCATCACTGGGTCGTTTTCTGTAGGTAACCAGTGGAGCCTCCGGCAACCAGTCTACAGTCTCCGCCAGGCGCCTCCCCAGGCACGACACACTGAGGACGACGCTTGCGGCTCTTAGGTTTGCTCCTTCCACTGCTGACCCATTGCTGTTTCTACGCACTGACACTTTTCTGCCGCCATTCTACACCCTCGTGTATGTCGACGAATTGGTCTTTGCCACTGCTGACATTGAGGGACTCGCCGACATGAAGTCGGAGCTTCAAAAGAGATACACATCCACGGACTTGGGTGAGCTTGTAAATCACCCGGGACAGGGCACAGTGCACCATTACCTTGACTGAGTCATACATGGTGCAGTAGGTCCTTCAGCGCTTCCGCTTCACGTACTCCTCGCCACAGTCCACTCCTCTGCCTACCGGTAACTCGCTCTTAGCTCTACATTTGGATGAGTTCGTAGAGCCGAGTGGCCCGTATCCAGAGCTTGTGGGCTTCCTCATGTACCTTATGACCTGCACCTAACCTGACCTTGCTTACCCTCTTAGCATTCTGGAACGCAGCGGTCGACCTCGCGTGAGTGCTGGTTGCTCTTCACTGTGAGGCCGCTCCCCACCTTGCTGCAGGCAAAGGCGATATCGGGCCTCGTCGTCGTCGCCGCAAACTGCAGCAAGCAAACCTTCTGCCGGTACTCCTCTTCCTGAGGCTCCTGTGCCTCCTCGTCGTGGAAGGTGAGCTCGGCGTAGGCGACGACCGAGACCGGCGTCTTCGGGGTGCGCCCGGTCTGCTCCTCGTCGATGAAGCGCCTACGCAGCTTGTCGGCGTAGCCCTACTGGTGCAGCGACAGCTTCTCGGCGACCTTTCGCGGACGATCTCCAGCCCGAGGTACTTCTGCACTGGCAAGATTTCACGCAGCTCGAAGGCGGCCTCTAGCAGCTCCTTCAGCTCCTTCAGCATTGAGGGGCTGCGGCTTGGGCGAGCAAGTCGGCGACGTATACCAGCACCCAGCAGGCCACTCCGTCGTCGCCGACCTAAAAGTAGAGAGCCTAGTCGACAAGGCTCTTCTTCCACCCGGCGCCGACCTGCACGTCGTTGAGCATCAAGTACCACAGCAGTGGCGATTGCTACAGGCTCTTCTGCAGCTTGCACACCCGGCCGGTTCCGTCATTGAAGTATTCCGACTGGGTTCATGTAGAGCACCCGGTCCAGCTTGCTTTGCAGGAAGGCGTTCTTCATGTCGAGCTGCATGAGGTTGAGGTTGAGGACGCCGACGATGATGAGGAAGATTCTTAGTGTGATGTAGCTGCCTACCAGCGCAAACGTCTCATCGTAGTCAGCTCCATACACCTGGGTGAAGCCCTTCAGGACCAACGTCGCCTTCTCGCGCTCAACGGTGTCATCGACGTGGTACTTTGTCGTCAACACCCACCGGTTCTTCATGATGTTGACCCACGGCGGGCGTTCAACCAGCTCCCAAGTGCCCATATTGATGAGGCTGTGGATCTCCTCCTCCATGGCGGCCTTCACCGCCGGGCCCTTCCAGCTCGCCAACGCCTCCTTCACCGTCATCGTCAAGATATCCCAACGGTGTTCAGGGTTGGCCAGTATGTTAGGGTCGAGCTCCGAAAACTCCTCATCCTCCTCAGCGTCATCGTACAGCAGGTCGTCGTCATCCTCCGCGTCGTACATCGTGGTGAAGGCAGCGGGGATGAAGAAGTCCGGTGGCCTCCGAACTCTCCTGACTTTCAGGGTTCCGGCCGAACCTCCACCACGTCACTTTCGGTGGACTTCTCCCCTTCGTCACCGGCTTCGCTGCCCTCGTCGGCCTGCTGCACCTTGGTCGACTTCCTGGTCGACCTCTCCCCTGTAGTCGGCTCCTCTGCCGACTGCGTGGTTGCCGACTGCTTCGTGGTCGGCGTCACCGCTGCCTGCTCCCCTAGCGGCTGCTGACTTGCTGGTGCTCTCTTCGTCGGCTTCACCCAAGTTGGCTGCTCCTCCTCGACGTGCACCCCTACGTCAACTTGTCGTTTGACATGTCGGCCACCGGCAATGCCCTTGGCAGGCACCAGAGGCGACGTCCCACTACTCCCCTCATCGCCGAAGGCCGACATAGGAGTCAGCTGGTGCAGGTCGGCTACGAAGGGAGGGGCAGGGGTCGTAAGGGGGGGCAGGGGTCGTAGGGGGAGGAAAACGAACGACCTCGACGTCCTCACCAGTAAGCTCACCAACCTCGGCGAGCAGAGGCAGTGTCTCCGTCGAGGTATCGGTCAACGGGGCAGGTGGCGTCGGACTGGGCACCGGCCCGTGCTCCGACTTGCACACCTCCAGTGACACATCCTCGTAGAATACTACGTTCGACGTGGTGACCACCCAGTTGGCGTCGATGTCGAGGAGCTCCCAGCACTTGCTCTCCGTCGACACGCCAAGGTGAAGGCCCCACCTGGCCTTCGGCTTCAGCTTCCCACCACACTGCTGCTCGGGGACAAGGAACTGCGCCATGGAGCCCCACACCCGCGCCAGCGACAAGTCGGGATTCTGCCCGGTCGGCAGCTCGTACGGCGCCGTCGCCGGCGGCAGTGTCAACCGCTCAAGGCATTTGCAGAGAGGTGCAGCTGGTTGCTCTGCCGCAAAGAAAGGTGCCACCAGTGGTGCTGCACGCCCATCTGCAGTAGCATCGTCCACACCGACTCCACCACAGTCTTCATCTCCCGCTCCGCCATGCCGTTTTGCTGCGGGGTGTACGGGCAAGTAAGGTCGTCGACGATCCCCTTTGTTGGTAAAAGGGCCTAATAAACTCAAGCTTTTAAGACTTTATCAAACTTAAAACCTCTCCTTCAGGTCACCTCCAAGGGTCCTTGGGTGCCTGGTACAAGACCAGCCCCTATCCTCGGGTCCGAGTTTGTAGAGAGAGGGATCAAGAGGGACTTAGTCAAAACAGCAAGAGTACCTTGAACTTCGCGCAGCGTATCGTGCAGACCGTCGATCAGATTAAGCTGAGAATTTCCTATATCGAAGCTCGCTCCAAGAGCTTTAAAATTAGCCAAGTTGCCTCGCAAAAAGTTCTGCCATTACGAAGTTATGGCTTGGACAGCGTTTGCCTAGTGTTGGAGTGCTAGCGTTCTAGCTTTGACTCAGGTAGCATTCCGCTGTCGCACCGCGTATAAACGAAATTCCAGGAAGGGAGGAATTCGCTTGAATCAAATTGAATATATCCAGGTACAAACAGAGACAGAATCAATAGTTCTAGGTCGCAAGGACCTAGGATAAACCTAGGAACAACCAGGGATGATCCCAAATAATTTCAAGGAAAAGAACCAACCTGGCTGGACAAAACAGCAGGTGGTAGGTTAGTAAAAAACCTCTGGTTCTGTTTTTCCAACCTGGGAAAACAACAACCAGGTTCAGGTCCTAAAAACAGAACCTGATTTGTCTTTGCCCAACCAGCCAAATGCTGGTTCCGCTGGTTTCCCCTGGCCCTGTAGCATGCAGATACATACAAACAACATCCAACCTTCACCTAAATTGTACCCCTATAGTTCTTGCCCTGCTACACTATCATCAACCAAACAAAACAGTGCAATTTCGAGTTGGATAAAACTGAATCTGCACAATCAATTCAACCGAACCGCAAAGCTTCCATCTTGGGCTCCTTTGCGAGCTCGTCCTTTCTACTTGTACTGTTCATAGCGCGTACAATGTTGTGCCGAAGCGCACAATGCGCGAGTACCTGCAAATGCTTCAAGCAAAAATTGCGAAAGCAAACAAACACACGAACATTCCATTCACACCCAAATGCATTCGCACACGCATACTCGAACAAACAGACGGTAGGATGTCGTGCAATGTGAATTTGCACCCAACACACTCCCCTTCAGCCTGCCGGCTGCATCCCCATCATTCCATGCTAGTTCATGCTCATTCCTCTCATGCGCAGACAATGCCAATGAGG